ACTTTGCACAAAACTCTGATGATAGCTGTCCAGGCTGCCCATACATTACTCAAACTATAGAACACTTTGCACTTAAAGCAAAACTAGTAAACGAATTTGGGAACAAAGCTATAAACTGCTTAAAAACAATGAAATAGAGAATCCTCCAACCTTAGTAAAAGAAATAATTAATGCAAATAACATCCAAAATGCCAAAAAATGCAAAGCAGCACTGTGGATCCATATTCATGCAATTTATAAAATTTGGCATTGGTTTACTCAAGCAAAATGGGGCAATAATCTAATATCAGACAATATAATTAGCAATATAACAAATAGTAGACTTAGAAAAGAAATTAAAGTACTTAACACTTTACAACGAAGAGAATCCAAAAAAGGATCTGCTTCGAAAAAAGAAATTTTAGACTTTATTAATCTAAATAATAGCTATATGTAATTCACAATTATCTTCTAATAAATGAATAAATAAATACGCTTAATTGCAGTTTTTTAATAAAAAAAAAAAAAAATACAAAAATAAATATATATATAATTACTAATACTACTATATAATATACTATGCTAAAAAACTACTTTGTAACATTTTTCTCCTCTTAAGAATTTTGTTCTACAAAATTCCCATGACTTTTGTACCATTCACAAAAGTCAACTAATTGATTAAACTTGGCTTTACTCATATTATTAATATGTTTTAGAATCAGTTTCTTTGTTCGATATATTTGTTTATAGCCAATAGCTTTGAACAATCGATAGGTTCTAGTCCAGGCCTTAATTCTACTTGCCTTTATGAACTTGTCATAATTTGGTTTTTCTAATAATAGGGCTTCTAGATGATAGTCATAAGCTAAGCAATGTATCTAGTTATAGTTAGATGGGTATGCAATTAACTGATATTCCTTAGTAATTTTGGTATAACAATTTTCCTATGATGTATTAATAGTCATTAGTATAGTAATGAGAAAAATCTGGTTTGGTGTTATGTTTAGTAGATCCATTTTTATTTTGGTCAACAGATCATCATTACAGGTTGTTGGTAATATGTATGAGGTTTTCGTATTAAGAATAAGAGTAGTACTATTAGCTTCACATATAATAGTACCTGGGTGTTGAACCTGTTTACAGAGGTCCTGTAATTCAAG